ACCCCCCCCCAAAAAAAGCTAGAGTTTTTTTTTTTTTTTTTAAGCAGGACCAGCCTGGGTTCCAGGGTCATTTCATGCCTTGGGACCCTACAGTATTTCTGTCCTGGAAGAGTCAGGGTCCATGGCAAGAACCAACAAATCTTGGCATGGCCAAGTGTCTTTCTATAGTTTACATACAAATGTGTGTTGTTCTTGAAGGAGAAAAAAACATTTATTTTAGGTATATAGGAAATCAATCATACGGAAGTGGCTGGGCACCCACCACTCAGAAGGCAGAGGCAGGTGGATCTCTGAGTTTAAGGCCAACCTTGTGTACAAGAGTGAGTTCTGGGACAGCCAAAGCGACACAGAGAAACCTTGTCTTGAAAAACAACAAAACCAAAAGCCAAGAATTTGAAGGAAGTAAATTTGGTCCAAGTTGACTTTTAAATTTCTGTTTATTTTATGTGGATGAGTGTTTTACCCGTGTGTATGTATGAGCACCATATGTTTGTCTGGTGCCCATGAAGGTCATAAGAGGGTGCTGGATACCCCGGAACAGGAGTTATGGATGATGGTTGAGAGCCACCATGTGCATGTTAGGAACTGAAACCCTTCAAGAGCAGCAAGTGCGAGCCATCTCCCTAGCTTTGGGTTTGAGCTCCCTCAAAACATACACATGCATACATGCACACACACATGCGCACACCTGGCACATACATACCTGTGCACACACATGCACACACATACACTTCTACAGAGTATTTCGAATGCTCACACACAAAGCAGGCAGGGTTCCTGCTCTGCCCTTGGGTGTAACAGCATCTGTTTTCGAATGCTGCCTGTCCTTTGCATCTCTGGCCTATCTCGAAGAGTAGAGGATGGGGATTGAGACTTTCCTTCCATTTTTGTCCACCGTCCAAGAGTTGAGCTGTTTCCTCGATGCTGAGTTTGAAGTCAAATCGCCGTTGCTAGGCGTGCGTTAACAAACGGCTCCGTCTGCATGTGTCTCAGTGCTTTCTGACAAACGCTGCACCTGTGTAGTCATTCTTCTGTCGTCACTTCTGTTAGTAGGTTGCTCATTCAAGAACAAACACTCTCATTACCGAAGAAAGCTCTTTCAAGGCCCTCCCAGTCATCCCCCTGCAGCCAATCTCTTTCTTAGAAGAAACAATTTTGAACAAGCCTTTCTTCTTCTCGGTGATTACCAAGCACAATCATGACTGCTAATCCCTGCCTTTAACTTCCTGTTGCATCAGCAGCCTGGCAATTTGCTGGATTATGGGCTTGCTGACTGGAGAGGCAGGAACAGGTCTCATTGTTTTTCCATTCTTTCTCAGCAGCAGCTCAGTTTTCATTCTTCAAAACCCCATTATCTCTCTGTCCATAAATCCATCTACCCATCCACCAATCCACCCATCCACTCACCAATCCATCCATCCACCTACCCATCCACCAATCCACCCATCCACCCACCAATCCATCTACCCATCCACCACTCCATCCACTCATCTATCCATCCATCCTTCCACCCACCCACCCATGCATCCATCCATCCATTCCTTCTCATCTTCCACCAACTGATCTATCTATCCATTGATTCATTGATCAATTGTTCTGTTCTATGTAGTATTCATCAAGTTGACATCTACTATAAGCCATTAAACTGGCTACTCAAAATTCAGGTTCCACCCAATTTATATTGGAACAAGGAAGGCAAAGAAACTGAAAGATGGTACACACTACAAGGCAGAATGGGGCATAATGGAAGACCCAGCAGGAGTAGCTAGCATTGATTCTCTGGGAAAGAGGCACTGGCGGTGGACACTTGTAGGCCAATATCGAGTTGGCTAATTATTCATCAATATTTGTGGAGCACCGCGGGCCAGGCACTGTGATAACTGCCTGTGACTGGACAGAGGGGCAGGACAGACACGGGGCTGCTCTCATGGGACAGACGCCATGATGTCACGGTGGAGTCAGCTGGGTTGGAGCACTGGGTGTTACTCTAAATGAAGACTTCATGAGAATTGGTGCGTACAGTAAAGCGCGGTAGAAAACCAAGTGTCTGCCAGAGGCTCAGCCTCTGCCTGGCTCCCCTTCTTGTGAAGAATGGAGACCAACATCCCAGGGAGAATCTGAAGAGGAAACGCAAATGGCAACCGTGGGCACCGCAGCCCAATCACTTGCAGACAATTTCCTTGTCTTTTATACACACGGCCATGATGAAAATGACCTTTCACAAACAGCAGGAAAGGCCTCTTGGAGAAAATGGGCGTGTGGGAAGAAAATCTGTCTGCCCAATGGCCGTGTGACTCCAATGATTCAGAGAGCATTTCCAGTGTGAATTACTGATTGCCTATACAAGACGACTTCAAAGAAAATCCTACATGTCCTACTTCAGAGGCAGGAGCCCAGAGACCAGGGAAGGGAGAGGGTCTGAAACCCAGAGGACCTTCTTCCTAAGTAACGTGGAGTCCTAATATTTGTGTGATTTCCATCTGAACTGCTAACCTTTCGATGAATGTCACTGATGCACACTTATTAAATGGAGATGAACATTCCGCCATGAGGTCAGCTGTATCCCAGCTGCCCACAACAGCTCCACATGCTGCATTTAATTCTTTGTGTGTTAATATTTGATAAATAAAGCCAACTTACTGCATAGGGAGTTCTGTATGCTTTACCTAAAAGTGAAAGCACACTGAAAACCCGGATTTCCTGTGGATGCTAATTCACAAACGTACTGCAGAAGCCCTCTCCCACACGCCGTGTTTCTGGCTGCAGATCACTGACTATAAGCCTTAACAGCTTCGAGAAAACCCATTCATCACTAGCCACTGTTTGGCATTCATTTCAAGGAGCTTTGTTTCTGGGATGATCTCAACCTACTCAGCAAGACATCCATGAAATCTCCACGGTCCACGTATCAGATGTTTTCTACATGCCGTGTGTTGAAGACTTAGTCTCCACATCACTTCACTTAGAGTCACTATTCTGGGAGGTGGTAGAAATTTCAGGAGGGGAGGGAGGGCTGACTTGAGGGAGAAGGTCACAGGGTGTGTGTGTGCCTCTGATCTAAAACTTGGTTCCCAGTCCCTGCCCTTTTATCTCTGCCTCCTGGCTGCTGTGAGGTGAGCAACCTTGCCTTACCATGTCCTCACACCGTGATCTGCCTTACCAGGGCCGGCCAGCATTAGCTGAACCTCAGAACCCCGGGCTAAATCTTCCTCCTTTAAACTGTGTTGGATATTTGTTACAGCAGTGCAATGTGTAGCACATTCAACCAACACCAAAAGACACCATGACCGGTCCCCTCGGTCCCCTTCAGATCCAGGTGGTCTCATCAGTGACCTTTCCAAGCTTTCGGCTGAGATCTCTGTTCATGGCCACCATGGAACTACGCACGAGGTCTTCCATGGGGGTGTTCGGTGACCTGAGTCCTACTATAGGCTTGGCAGTCAGGGTAACGCCTTTTCACAGCAGCTGTGTGTGTGTGTGGGGGGGGGGCGCGGGGGGCGGGGCTGCTCCAAGTCCGTTACTGGGCAACATCTCAGCCTTCTTCTAGGGCTATTTGTGAACTATTTATTACCTGGGGCTGGGGCACCGCTCAGTCCGCGTCATCCGGAATTGTGAAGGGAACCCCATGCTGTATTCCTATCTGGGAAACTGTCTCACCTACTTCCAGGGAGTCAGCAAATCTGTTCAAATATCAGCTCGGAGCACCAGGGTTAAGATGCGGCCGCGTCAACACATTTCAATCTTAGGCTATATATATGGCTTGACAAAAAAGCATGTAAGATTCCATGGAGGAAGATTTAATGTCAATCTCAATCAAGATTATTTCCATATATCACTTCACTATTGAGGCTTTTACAGGCTGGCTGGGAGCTTCACAACCCCCTCTGCAGGGGAGAGGTGACCAGAGGGTCAGATCTTCTGAACACAACTGGCCTTTAGGGTGGCTTAGCAGGTGAGCGTGCAGACAAGCCTCAGGGCCTGAGCTCGGTCCCCGGGGCCTGCATGGTCGAAAGTTCTCTGACCTCCACACGTGCAGTGTCGGATCTGACCCCCCCCACACACCTAAATTAAGTAAATGTTTAACAAGCAGCTTGTCTTCTGTGGATATTGCTCTGAGTGGACAACCCCTCAAACTAGCAAGCATCATTAGAGCTGGGGCGTAGCTGAGTGGCAGAAGCGCCTGCTTGGTTTCAGTTCCCACCTCCACACGGGAAACACCAGAACAAGTGAGGGACAGCTCAGCAGAAGTGCCGGGCAGCAGGGTGACGTCACAGTGCGTCTGCCCACCTGTGTGGACGCCACACTCAGAACTTTAAATTCTTCCCTGAGTGACGTGTGCTTGACAAGCGGAATGTCAAATGACAGCAGACTGACGGAGGCAGGCGTACTCCCGTGACTAGTCCCGGCAAGAAAACGACAGACAACTTCTCCAGAGAGCAGGCCGTGCCGTTTATTAGGGAGTGCGGTTAGAAAAATACCCTTGAGGTTGGCCTCTCCGGCTCAAAAGCACTGAAGTAGAGGAGACCGGGAACAGCAGTGTGACGGTCTCCGCCCCGCTGGCTTCCTCCCCGAGTGCTGTGAACAGGGCTTGGCGAACATTCCACCCACTTCTCCTTGAGGACTGATGGAAACCCGAATGCCAGCAAACACACTCCCCAGACTTCCCAACTCCCAAAGCATGCACTGTTAATTGGCATTAGGTTATTTCAGAGTGACAGACTTGGTAATGGCATTGTAAGACCGAAACAGAGTACCTATTTACCAGACACGCTCGGTGACTAGAGAAGGAGAAAGTCCCAAATGGCCACCGAGTGTCACGGTCCATCTGGAACCAAGGGGGAAAGGCACTGTGTCTCTCTAGCAACACACAGCTACGGCATCACATGCTCCAAATTCATCCCGTTAAACACATGACAGTAGTTTCTACCACATACAGCCCACGGGTAGCTCGAGACTCCTGCCCTCTGTCCTCACCCAGCTGCACGGCAGGTATTAAGATATGCTTGCTCTTGGCTTTATTTACAAGTTTATCTTCACGTTTCAATGGGGGTGAAAAACTGTCTCAACAAACAGTTGCCAAAGAGACTTTTGGCTGAGACCCACGTACAAACCCCTACAGGAAAGAAACAATGGAAAGGGATGCCTGAACCCAACACCTAACCTCAAACTTAACTTGCCACCCACCGGCACCTGACAGCCAAACCGCTGCTCCGCATTGCATAAGCTAACTTCTACACAGGAACTCAAGATCAACGTCTTGTGCAAGAAAGCACAAGTGCCATGGTACGCCGGACAGGGTGACATGTGGCCCTCTCCAGGGGCGACCCCACACGCGGGCGCTGCTGCAGAGAGAGCCAGAGACCAGGAAAGGCCATAGTTTCCCAGTGCCCCCCCCCCAGCTTCCCAGGATGGAAAACAACGGCGGATTCATACACAAACACACGTCAGTCTTAGAACCCAGTGACGTACATGCGTGAGCGTCAGAACACGAGGGGGGGGGGTGAGGAGGACAATTTCCACACGGCACCGGGGCTGTCCCGTAACCTTCCTGCACTGGGGGCTCGGTGGCTTTGTGGGGTGCCTCTGCCCACCAGTGGGGGCCTGGACCCTGAACGCTGGCTGGAAACAGAAACCTTTCCCCGGGGCCACTAGTCAACCTGTCCTTGGCAAAAACAGAACCTAGAAAAGAGCAAGTACGAGACACTACCATTATCATTATCTCAGGATGTCCCAGATACCCTTGTGCGATTACCACAGACTCAGCCAATGGCCCAAGGCACTCCTGGGTGCCACGGACACAGACTGAGGTGCAGCATCAGAGCAAGGAGACAGAGCCTTCATTCTCTTCTGAGCAACTGGAATTCCTGCCACAGTGGCCACGGCTGTCGCCTCCAAAGCTATGACCAGCCACCTGCACAGAAAAGACTCCTCCCCCACGCGTGGGGTTTCGAGCGCGCCGTCTCGGCCTGTGAGCCAGTTCAGCTGAGGTGGATGGGCGTGTACTCCGGCCTCCTCGTCTGGATGATTTTTGGCTTGGGCCTCTTCATTCTCTCCGTCTCCTCCTCCTCTTCGTTCTCTTGGTCACTCTCGCACACGTGGACCACCACGCTGGGAGTGGTGTCTGTCGCTGCATGCAGCTCATACTTCTCACCTAGGGAAGGAAGGGGACAGGTGCCCGGTAACTAGGTAACCGGTAACTAGGGCAAGCCCTTGAGCATGACGAGCAGGCTCGTACCGCGGGGCTGGCACCAGGGTTGAGAGCCGGAGGCAGGCAGGGAGGCAGCGCAGGAGGAGTGTGTGCTGTTAGCTGGCCCCTCCCATGCTCACCCTGAGGGCCCCAAGGGTGGTGTGAGGAGCATCAGTTCAGGGGAGAGCCGGGCCCAGGCCACCCTGGGAGCAAACGCCCTGAGCCTCCAGCGCGCCAGGGAGGAGTGGACAGGCCCTATGTGTGCAGGCGCGCACGCGCACACGCGCACGCGCACACACACGCGCACGTGCACGCACACGCACACACACACACGCGCGCGCACACACACACATGCACACGCACACACACGCGCACGCACACACACACGCACACGCGCGTGCACACACACACGCACACACACACACGCGCGCACGCACACACACGCACACACACACGCACACGCGCGCGCACACACACACACACATACACACGCACACACGCACACACACACACATACACACGCACACGCGCACACACACACGCGCACACGCGCACGCACACACACACGCACACGCACACACACACACCCGTGACTGCCTCGGCTGTGTCCACCCTCCTCCTCCTCTCTTACAGTGGAGACAGGGTTTTATATAGTGTGGGCTAGCCTCACGTTCACTCAGTAGCTCAGGCTGACCTTAACCTTCTGTCCCTCGTGCATCCGAGGCATGCCGCCATGCCTGGCTTATGTGGCATCGGGGCACCAACGCAGGGCTGCGTACGTGCTGAGCACGTCCTCCACCACCCGAGCGACATCCCCAGCCACAGCACCATCTATGCGTGTAGCATGTATGTATGCATGTATGTATGCACTATTAGCTGGACTGAGAGTGCTCCCTCACTGCTGTTCTGGGCTAGCCTGAGCTTGCCCAGCTTCTATCCCAGTTCCACCACTCTGAAGCAGCAGGTTAGGGTTAGCCTTCTGTCCCTGAGAGAGAAGGCTGGGAAGGAAGTGTCTGGAACGTCCCTTGAGGGGTCTGCACTGGCTGCTGGTGGGGGCCAGCACGAACCAGGCTGCCGCGTGGACTGGGGGGGTGGAAACACTTGTACCTGGGGTTGCTGGGCATGCCATTTCATTCCCTTGTGCCCTTCGCCCCCTCTAAAACGGGGCAGGCTCACGGCACACATGCCTGACAAAGGCCATCCATTTAGGTTTTTAAAAATGGAGGGTGCTTGCCAGTAGGAGATGTGAGGTCCCAGGAGGTTTGACCCCCACTGTGAAACTGGCTTGGTGGGGCCTCCTGCTTCCTCCAGTGCTTCTCAGAACGGCACTCATGAACAAGGAGGTGGCCTGGCCTTTACACCACCAGTAGGGCTAAATGCTGCCCTGTTTGCAAGCATGAAGGAGCCTCGGCCCTCCCAGGGTTGAGGGCCGCTGGGAATGGAGTATCTGCTATTGGCCCAGGGGCCCAGGGGCCCAGGGGCAGAAGGCTGGGGACTTAAGGCTCTATCGTGGAACCTCTGCAATCCTGAAAAGCATGGCTGGAACGAAAAATACAAAACCAAACAGAATTAACTCCACGGCTAACTAGATGAAGGGCAAACTGCTTTTGTAAGACCCTCTCCCTCAGCCCTGAAGGTGGGCTTGGCTCTGGGGTGTGGCCCTGGTGGGCACTCTGCCACTCCAGTTTGTATTTCTCTCCGTATCTAGTGCAGACTTCCCGAAGGGATGTTTCAGCCCATTCATTCCCAATGAGGGTCCTCAGAGATGGAAGGCTCACCCCCACTTCCCGCCTCTGGAACAGTTTGGCTCCTTCTGCACATGGAGACCCCGTTTCCATGTGCGGCACCCACAGATGCCAAACCCTCAGCTTCACTCAGGGTGCTTGCTAGGAACTGCCACAATGAGCCACCTGCATGCTCACACAGGCCATTTCCAGTCGTGACCTTCATGCCACAATTAGCACTAGCAATGTGATTCTCGCTTTGTAGGGCAGGAGAAACTTCCGTTACAGGCTGTGCTCTCAGAAATGTAATCTTTCAGCACGAAACTGCTGATGGGCCATGAAAACAAAACCCTTCCTCTAAAGGAACATCAGATAGCTGGTCAAGGAGAAACGAGGGGCTGATGGCCAGTGGTTATCCAGCGTGCTGTGTGGAGGCAGGGGGGACGCTCACATCTCTGCACCCAAGTCCTTCCTCCCACCCACCCCTCTGACAAGCCCTGTGACATAAGAGAGGAGCCACCAACATTTTACTATTCCTAAAACCACATACTGGGCACGGAGCTGCCCGTGGGCCAGGGTACCATGCAAAGTGCTGTGTACAGGGCAATGGTTTATCATCTACGGCCACGGTTCCATTGGGTATGATCCATTAGGATGGTTGGGTAGCAATAATGGCTGCAGATGATCCCCCAAGGTTCTGTGTTCCCTTTCCGAAATCCAGTTGCTCATCACATCTGGAACAACATGATCTTTGGCCTGGGAGTGAGTCACAGGTATGCTTGAGGGGCGAGGGGACTTACTCAGGGGACATTCTGGGGATGCTGGTGCAGAAAGCCCACAGGCCGCTATAGTCTCTCCTGCACACACTCTGGGCACTGGTGCCATGGATGATGAGGAAGCACTGCTCATGGGACACATTTGCATGGGGTCATGTGGGGGTCATGTGAGGGTCACGTGAGGCGGCGTCTTGTGTCTGGACAATCTCCCCACACCTGCCAGCCCCCTGACCACCTGAGGGCGCTGCTTACCTGGCCCCAGCTTGGAGATGGCATATAAAAGATCGTAGTTTATGACTGGGGTAGCATCTTCTACTTGCTTCCAACCAACGGGTGGAGAGGCTGGAGGAGAGATGAGAAACTGCTTGTCTGGATTGGGTGGAGCCAGGCGCGAACTTCCTATGTGTAATGTCTGAGGAGAGAGAGAGAGAGAGTTAGCTCACCAGTAGGCTGAGAGGGAGCGGGAACTGGGTCCACAGCAGCTCACGGAGTCTTTGGAAGGCAAGCATGGACGACAGGGCAGCGGCCAGGCAGTGGACCAGGCACCACGTAAGAGGAACCGAGAAGCTGGGAGCTGTAGACGTGTGTTACATGTTTATTGCCAACCAGGAAGCAAAGATAGCTTCAACCAGAAGTGGGGCTGGGCTCCAACCCCAATGTCCACCCTGAGTGATCCGGTTCCTTTAGCGTGGCCCCCAACTCTTACAGGTCCCCTACCCCCCAAAGTGGCATCACCAAGGACCCCCAAGTATTCAAACACACGCGCTCACGAGGACATTTCATGTTCAAGCCCTACCAGTGCCCAAATGGTGAGAGCCCCCCCCCCCCCGAGCTGTGAGCCTCACACTGGCAGTAAACTAAAGAGAACTTCAGATCAAATGACCACTTTAGACCAAATGAGGGGATGGAGGTGGAGAAGGCTCAGGGCCTGCAAAAACCGACTTTACCTTGGAACAAATTTCTAGAACCTTCTTTCTCTTGTCTTGGCAATCTACCAGTCCCTGTTACAATATCAAATGGAAGTTGGGAGCTGTCTTGTCTTGAAGGTGCAAGGGGTTGGCAGGACAGAGGGCAAACCCATCCATAGACCCCCCCCCCTCTGCACCCCAGCTAAGAGAGGGTCTCAACCATCTGACAGTCATCTCAGGCCCCTCCCCACTAACAACCCTGTGCTGATTTCCATATGGTTTCTTCACAAAGCCAGGGTGCTGGTAGGAGCCATGAGACCCCGCACCAGCTGGGGACCTCACCTGACACATGACTGGCCATTAGCCTACTTCCGGAGGAACTTTGCAGAGCCCCAATCCCAGTGTACCACAGGAGCCTGCAATGATGGCCCCTGCAAGCTCCCTGGGTGAACAAGGAAGGGTTTTCTTTCCCTCATTCATGATTTAACCCAGGAAGCTACAGGGTTCCCATCTCTGAGGGGTTTTTCACATCCATCTGATTCCTTCTTAGACCAGGTGAGAACCTGAGAATTCAGGGTAGGGCTCCTCTTAGAGAGGCTGGAGGGCGTGCTGTCCAGTGTCAGTGCGTGAGGTGCTGTGCTGTAGAAGCAGCCGGGGGGGGGGGGGTACCGGCTTCACAAGGCACACGCTCACCTGAGCAAAATACAACTTCATCTCCTTCCCCAGGAACTCAGTCTTATGCAGCTGCAGCCTGGCATCAGCTGCAGACAAGGGGTTGCTGAAGTTTATTCGGACACGCTTGAAGCTCTTAAAATACTGGAAGGTGATGTCCTTGTCATATGTCCTGAAGAGGGATTCAAATTTGGCCTGGAAAAAAAAAAAAAAAAGGCCGATAAGAGGGTCTAAAATTTACCTATTTTCTGCCCTAGTCATTGCCTTCCTTGTTGAAAAAAATCAGTTGTCATTTCAAACACACACACACGCACGCACACGCACACACACGCACGCACGCACACACACGCACGCACGCACGCACACGCACACGCACACACGCACGCACGGGGGGGGGGGGGTTGTGTTGTGCTGTGTGTTTGGTGCTGGGATGCTGGGGTTAAGGTTTTGGAGGCCTTGCGTCTGGCTAAGCACATACACCACCGTTAGACTAGCTCCGATGATCTTCTTAGAAGAGACAATTGTCACTCCTTTTAAAAGTGTCTAGCCAACTTCACCCAGAGTGGATACTGTGTGTGTTCTTCAAATAGTGCTTTCCTTAGGGCTCCAGGTCATGCAGCACATTTGAAGGGCTGGCGGGAGAGCCTCGGTAAAAAACGGAAGAACTAAGGAACAACCACCTTAAAAGAAAGTCTTACCATTCCTTAAAGGGAGCTCTTTGCGAACTCCCGCTGCGGTTCACCTCACTCTGTTAGTTAACTTTTGAAAGAGTACCGATTTAACATTTAATGTGCAGCAAACGGGCAGCAGGCGCCTGTGCTCTCTTCCACGCAGGCGGCCTGCACGCTGCTGTTGTAAGGGCTGTTGAGGATTGGGAAATATCATGAGCTGTTAGCGTGCAGAGCCCAAATTCTGGGATTACAAACTTGGCTCCTGGCTTCTGGAAAAACCTCATCAGCCGCCTAGGAAAGGCCGGGAGCCCCACCCTCTCCTGCAGCGGTGTGTGGGGATGGGCCTGCACCTCCTGGGGACTCCGGGAAGATCCTGGGAGCTTTTAGACGCCAGGTGGTTTCCGAGTTCCCTTCCACAGGCTGAACAGTAGACAGTTCGTGGGGACATCTGAAGGTGGGTGGTGGGTGAGGGTGCTGGCGTGGACCCTGGGTCCGAGCCCTGCTCTCACGCCTGCAGAGGTGGACAGCCGGGGAAGAAGAGGGGACAAGCCTGTCCTGGAAACCCTGAAGGGAGTGCGTGGGACTAAAAGCCCAAAGGTGGCTCTTCACCTGTCCCAGGCGGGGTGCAGTGCGTCTCCTCCAGGAGGCAGGTGCCTAGGAGAGCCTGGCCATCTCCCCCTCCCCCCTCATGCTCTACAGCCCAGGAGCGATTCTGTGACTTTCCCACTCACACAGCTGACATTTGACCTGGATGCCACCTGCTGGTGATCCGCTCCTGATCTCTTAGGCACTGAGCAAGGAGCCTCGGTAAAGCCAGGATTTGCATGACCTCATCAGTAGGCACTGTGACTAACTGTAGTTCTGAGTTATGGTTCAGAATTTGGGAGAGATGACTTGGTGAATATTTTTAGAGGGCAAGTCAGGGCTCAGAACCAGAGCATCAGAGAACACACATTACTGCTAAATCCACACACTTACAAAATAACCTCAGAGCATGAGAGAACACACATTACTGCTAAATCCACACCACCAAACACTTACAAAATAACCTTATTTGTTCTAATAGTAGATACCCAGCTGTTAATACTCGCTGTATAGGATCTTTACTTAAGTGTTTCTTAACTATCAGGCTAATGCTCAGCACATCAAGCCTGTTGTGTGTCTATGAATAGAATGTGTTTTATAATCAAATTAAAAAGCTACTGTCCCAGTCTTCCAAACATTATACACAATTAGCATACCACACAAACACCATCCCCACAAACAGGACATATTCAATATCCATTCATATAGGGTTCTTATTAGAGATCAATTACTTACTATTACTCAATGGCTTGATAGTAACTAATGAAAAAAAAAAAACCTCTTATGCTTTTCCCAAATAGAGAAGAAACGTATAGTGATTAAGATGACTAATTATCTCTGTGAGAGCTGCTACCTCATCCCACACTGAGTTTTAATATTTGGTATGCCTGCATTTTTCTCTAGTCAGAGAGATCTGGAAGCCGGAGGCAGACCCTTGCCATTACTGCAAACATGCAGTCCATTCACAGTGTGTATTTCCTACGAGGAAATCCGGTAATTTGGATCCCCAGGGTCCAGAGCTGGCAGCAGCCTCCCTCTAGGGTTCACAGGAGCCAAGTGTTGTCATACATAAATGTCCGCACCTCCCGCACACATAGGGGACCCGGGAGCGTCCAAAGCCGGAGCGTCCAACCCCCTTCCCAGCTAATCGGAAGCTTCAGGTAACAGCTTCTGATTTTCAAGACTCTAAAATACTCTAAGGGTAACTTGATAAATCCCACAAGAGAGCCACCCACCCCTGAGAATTTCGGCTAATTGTCCCAATTAGCGGCTTGCTTGGAAAATGGTCGAAAATCATGGGTCGCCAGAAGCCTTACCCTGGTTTCACTTTCGCTGAAGACATCACCGTTTGCCACACAGGCAATCAGGGAGCTAAAATTGTAGTTAAAGTCCCTAAAATGCATTCTGCTTTCTTACTGGGCAGACGCTAACGACTCAGTCACACTCACTCTCGAAGTCAAGCCCCAAGCTGGAGGTTCCTTTGCAAGAGACCAGGGGTCCTTCCTCCAGCAGGGGTTTATAAAGCTGCTCTCAGAGGTCCAGCCCCCTGGGGGTGGGGAGGGCTTGGCTTCCCGAGCATCCTGTTTGGACAGCAAATTCCTGAGTCGAGTCCCGCATGCTCGCAGGCAGACAGGGACAAAGTGTAAGTTTCTACTGGAAAGAGGTGACGTCAACACCTTAGTCATTTTCCCTATGCTAATTACCTTTGCTCAGAGGGTGGAAAAGGCTGCCCAGCCGAGGTTTGCTGAGCTCCAGAGCTTCACCCGCCCCAGCATAGTTCCCACTGGTAGTAATTCCACTCAGCCCAGACAACGCGCTTCTGGGGCTGCACTGGGCGGGCCCTGCTTAAGATGGAAAATGTTACAGCAGAGAGGGACCAAGGTCTGAGGCTGTAAACAGCAATTACCCTCCAGGGAGTCCTTAGGCTTTAAGAGACCTGGAAACCAAGTCCTGGGGAGTTGCTCGCCCTGAAAAACCTCAATGGATGTTTCTTGCTGGGCATCAGAGAAACATTTTGAAATCTGTCTTGGTCAGTGAGTTCTGTTTTTTAAGAAAAAAGTAGAGTTTGTTTTGAAATGCAGGTTTTTTTTTTTTAACCTCCTCCCCAATTGTACTTTATTGGATCAATGTCCCAGTTCTCAGTGGGATGGTGGGACAGACACCCAGGATTCTCCTCTGAACAACTTCCTGACTGGCGTGGAGGGCCAGGGATGGACAACTTAACGCACGTTTCCCAAGGAGCACATTGCCCTCAAGTTGATGCCCAATGCCAGAGAAACAAAGTCCCACAGAGAATCTGGCTCTGAAGCTGAGGGGTAACCCTGTTCAAGGACTACACGCTGCTTTCTTTTTATCAAAAAGGGAAGAAGAGATGGAAAACATGAGTTTGGCAAGCAAGTCTCGCCAGCCTCTGTGCCCGCAGGGTGTGGCATGCTGGGTACAGACCACCGCACGCACATCCAGAGCGCCCAGCTCCTGCTTCTAACTACCAGGCTTGGGCACTCAGTCCTTTCCACTTGCCCCAACCTCATGAAAGCATTCAAGGTACTGACGCCTTCTCTCGCCAATGTGCAGACTCAGCTTCCACGTGTCCAGAAGTCAAGCCATTCTCTCCACACTGAAAGCTTCCCTCAGAGCTCTTCTGAAGTCAGCCAGTAATTACAAAGAGTATATGCAACAAGAGCGAATGGGAAGCTCCCTCCACCAACAAGAGCAGCAAGCCAAGGCTGCCCAGATGAGCGAGGGTTGCTTAATTTCAAAGCCTGGCGCCTCGCTGCCAACTGTGGGGTTATGTAAGAAACCAGTTATGGTGTTTGCTTTGCCAAATCACCCAGGGCTGCCAGTCCCCCAAAGACTTAAATGCGTTTGTTTATTCTAAAAAACGTTTGGTGCACCGAAAGCAGGTGTGTGTTAAACACCCATGGAAATGGCAGCTTTGGGTGGCGTGGAGAGAGCCGTGCCCTGGGCTGCAGTGCATCACACCCCTCCTTCAAGAAGCCCCAGACAGGCTGCTGCCTCTCGGCTGCCCTCCCCCACTTCCCTCTTCCATCTTCTCCTAGAGCCCACCTTGGCAAAGGTCGAGGGGATGGATCAGAGGGAGGCGAGGAGCCTGCTTTCATGATGCTCACACATGTGTACGCAGACCAGAGAGCAACCTTGGCCATTTCCCAGGAATCATGCACTGGCCTGGAGCTTGCCTGTCCCCCTTCCTTCTGGGCTGGGATGCAGACACCTGCCACCGGCCCCAGACTTTTCACAGGGGTTAGTGCATGCGCGGCAAGTGCTTTTCTAACGGAGCTGCCTTCCCAGCCCCTCATTTTTGTTGTTGCAAACGATGTCATTATGCTCCAGGTAAGTTTTGCAGGCAGAACTGGGCCATTCCTGTCCAGCAGAGACAATGCAGCTGGCTCACTGAAGTTTACAACTTTGATTGCATTATGTGAATGAAGACAGGGGATAAGGGACATCAAGGTAAAAGAGTATTGCTCAAGTCTTCCTCACAGAGGTGATAGATACATCTTCCACTAAGCTGTCCCTGAAGCCGCACAAAACATGTCATTCTGTTCCCGTGTCTGAATGGATTGGCTTCATCTAAATCAAATTTCTCTTGGTGAATGTGAGGCTCCCAGTTGTCATTCAGGAACAGGGGCTGCTTCAGGTGACAGCTGGCATTATGCAGGGACACTGGAACAGGGTGACATCCAACAGTGAAATCACTGGTCACACAGTGTCCCAGAACCCCGGCCTAGCGGGGAGAGGGCACCTCGGCTGTGTCAGCAGAGGTGTCCTTGGCTGCAGCTCCAGGGACGTGGGGCCGACTGGAGGCATCCGTATTACCTGGGGAGCCTGGCTCCTTGGGAGCACTCAGGTGCCGCCTGGGGGCCCATCTCTTTGGAGCACCCTTGTCTGTGGAGCACCCTTGTCTGTGGAGCACCCTTG